CGGAGGTTGTCGGGCCTTAGGCACTGGTTATTTATGTCCTGCGAAGGAAAGGGGCACAATGGAGACATTCTGGCTGGTGTTTATTGAATCTACTTTTTCCCAAGTCAGAGCCTAGGGTATTTATGGTCTAGTGGACACATCCATGTATTTAAATCATACCGACATTGGATCCCTTTTCTCGTTGCTTTGCTTCTGAGGCCTGGTGTAAACTAGTTTACGAGCTATTATGTACTGCCCAGGAAAAATGAGACCGGGGAAGAAGAGAAACAGAATTTCAGACATATTAGTTTAATCTCATAAAACTAAATTGCCTGCATTTCACTAAACGCCATAATCTGGGCAGCACAGTGTGTCTGTGCCTAATTAATTTACTCCACTTCCAGTTATTTATGAAAGGGTCAGCCTTTCGGCATACCATCAATTCATTTTCACACCATTGGACTACGGCTCTGTCCACCCGCGGGGTTGTACACTTGCTAGTATCCATAGGAAAAAGGTGACTAGAGACCGGTGAACTTCCTTTTAGCAGTAGATGGCCCTTACTTCAGTAGTACATATTTCAACATGCAATTCAAAACTGTGGGTTGGGCGGGTGGAACTCAGTGGGTTCAGCGCCCGCCTAGCACACCAGGCTCCGGGTTGGATCCTAGCCCCAGAGAACCAAGCAACACAGCAACAACAAAAGACTGATGAGAGACTTTTCCAGATGGCCTTGAGATCTAGGGTCTCGGTGGGCTGATGGTACACGGCAGTTTGGACTGCTCTAGACTCAGGAGCTTGCTAGGGAGTTTTCTGGGTGCGACATCACTTAGGCCCAGCGACTTGAGTCTCCTGGATGCAGGGTGGACACACTGCTAACGTCAGAGCGATTTTTTTCTAGTTCTGAATTCTGGCTGATGCTGGCGGCCTTCAACCCCGTGCGGCTGGATGTGAGTCTCCACGTGGCTGTAGCATAGACAAAACTCACAGCTTGAGCAGACGGCTTCCCGGAGACCTTGCGGGACATGGCAGCCCTGGCCGATACCAGGGCTGAATTTCTGGCATCTTCTGGGTGATGACTTAATCCTTGCTAGAATGTGATGAGAGTTTGCTTTTCCTAAGGGAAGCTACTGTTTGGAATAACTGTTGTGGCCTGGGCCTACAATCATGGATACTAAGGAGGTAGAGGCAGGGAGGATCAGAAGTTCTGGGCAAAGTCAGCGAAGAGCTATCTCAAAACCAAAATCCAGTGCAATGATCATAAACAGGGTGGGGGTGGGGATGCTGGTCTGGCAGGCTTGAGACGGGGGTCAATTCCCAGTACATACAAAAGAGGCGCATCATTTTGTTTGACTAGCACACGCATTGTTGTTACCGTGGGTGACCTTTACCAGCAGCCCCAGGAGGCAGGAGGAAATAAGAATCAATCAAATGACAGTCAAATCCTCTTAACTGGAGCCATACTGAAAAACTGGCTGAAGAGAGCCTGAAATATGCTGGGGGGGGGATTAAATCCTAACTATGTATCCATGAAAGATAAATGTGAATCGATCATAACACCTAGCTGAGATTTAGTTAAATGGGAAAGAATTAATTTAAAGAAGGCCAAGAAATAACAGGCTCGGAGAGCACAGGTTCTCGTTCATAAATTAGTGAGTCACAAGAATGTAGACAATAAATGAATAATTGCAGGGTAGGATTAACTAGGTGTTTAAGGTTGTTGAAGATGTTAAATTATACCAATCGAGCAGAGAGTAGGTTTGGCAGGCTTTCATAGAATACTTATCTGTAGCGAACTAAGAAAGCTCATGTTTCTGCTTGTGAGCAGGTTTTGTTTTTTTTTAATTGTACAAGAATACCTGCAGCAAGATCTCATCTGAGGTTTGAACCCTAGTATCTCCAGGGGGTATCCTGGGCTTGGGTTGGGTTGGGTTGGGCTGAGGCTTGGGTTGATTTTGCCTTCTTTAAAACAAAAGCTCATTTTCATAGTAAGAGTCGTGGCGTATTAGAGCTGGGAGCCAGTCGGAGCTCTGATCAAAGCTTCCTTTTCCAGATGAAGCCCTGAGAAGAGGTCAGAAGAGGTGAGATGTTGACCCTCTACCTCCAAGAAGCCAGCCCTCTACCTCCAAGAAGCCAGCCGATCTAGAGGAGCTCAGGACTTAGTTCCCCAAATCCTCTTTATGGTTGTGAGCCAACTTTATATTGAAAAACATAAACACCAGCGACCCCACTTGGAAAGGGTATCTTATAAAGAACAGGTTTTCAGGGGGAAAAAATTGTATATCCATTGCACATATAGACAACTGTTCAACCTTCCTCCTAGCCAGAAAAGCACCGAGCAAAGCACCACAGGGCGATGTAAATCTTCACCCAGCCCATGGAGACAAAGCCAACGTTTTTGGTGAAGAACAGCAAACGCCAGGCACTTCTGGAAGAAATGCAAATCGGCGCAAACTTGTATTAGAGAGAAATACCTCATCTGGGAAGATTACAGATGCATTTGGTGTTTAATCTGTTGCTAGAGATCCATCTCAAAGACACACAGGCAACATCCTAAAATTCTGTGATTTAAAAAGACACAAAAAGACTCCAGATGTCCATTCATAGAGGACTTTGCGAATAGCCACCAGACAGAAGGAGGCAGAGCTTGATAAAATGCCAGGGATTAATCTCCAGAATACCATTCATCAAATAAAAGAGGACGAACCACATGCAGAGTAGCCTGCATGGGAGTGTGTTTATGTTTGTGGGTGTTTTGCCCCTCCGCTTAAATTTAAAATGGAACGGTAATCTTAAAATCCAACCAAAATAGTTAAGGTGTAAGAGACAGAGAAGTCTCACATTTTGTCCTATAATTTTTACTTTGGAATCCTATACATATTTAATCTAATTTTAAAACAAAAAAACCCTATGATAATCAGATGAACTTTATTGTATACTGACTTTTGTCTTAACCACAGAGAGGAATCATCTCAAGTGATGTTAAAAATAGAACAGTTTTTAACCGCACATTCCAAGTGGAATAGATTTAAAGATGAAAAATAACCACAATGAGATCTTAAACCACGTTCAGTTACTGTATTTTCAGTAATAAGATAGGCATGGCCATTTTGAGAATATGTATTTTAAGCAAGTAAAATTATTAATGAAATGGGATGAAGGAAAGTAGGCAAAAAGAAAAACGAAAACGAAAATCCAAGCCAGCTCCTCTAAAATTTCTACAATCCTAACTTTGACCTGAAAAATAGCAGGTTGGATTTGTGATATAATTTCTCCTTAGTTCAAAAGGTCTACAAACAGTGACCCATCCATCACAATGAAAACCCTCCGTGCTCGATTGTACTTTCTGAATAAATGTCTTAAAAGAAGCCAGGCTCCTTGGAGAAAAGGCTGATTTCATGACAGGCTGTAAGAAACACAAGACAAGGCGGGAACATGGAGTTTGACCCAAATACAAGAAAGACCACCGGGGTCCTGCTGGGGGAAACGGGAAGAGGCTCACTTGGAATGAAAACGGAGCGTTTTAATCATCAAAAAGAATAGTCACAATAGACGGAAGCGTATTGACTCTTAAAACCGTCCTGCGTCCCTAAAGACACATTTTTGGACCCTGTCTTGTTGGTAGGTGTGAGGGAAACAACGCATTAGCTTAAAGATCAGCAAATGAAAGAATCAATAACCAATCACCACTGTGATGTCTAGTAAATAGTGGCTTAAAGGGTGCTGTGCTATCAGGTGCGGTGGGAAACTCGAAAATGTGGGGCTTACAGTAACCAAACTTCAGTGTGCCTAGCAGTGAGGCTGGCGGGTCAATGTAGAAGGCGGGGGTTGAGCCTGAGACTCTGCATTTCTGACAATTCACCATGTGAGGCGAGCTGGCCTGGTACCTCTGTCTGCGGGGCCTCGTGCTCTCCTGTGGGATGCGAACCACTCACAGAACGCCAGACAAGGTCCCCGGGTGGGTTCCGTGACTGGCCTAAAGGTAAGTAATGAACCTCGCCTAAACCCAACGTCCCCAAAATGGAATGACTTCCGTTCCTGACATCATCAGGTCCAGAGAAAAGCTTCGGTTCCTTAAAGGTTCACACACACACACACATTGTCACCCCAAGAAAACCCAAGTTCTCTCCTAAGTCCCCCTCCGAGGTACCCCGTGCTTCCCAGAGCGAGCCTTCTCTCCCATTGAGACCTGTAATAAAGCCATTTCCTTCCCCCAGAGTGTGTGGATGAATCAGGCTGACAGCTGGCTCTCTAGCGACAATTTGTCTTCCCACGTCACGTGCTTGAAACCTCACAGTATCTATCACCTCTCAAGCCACCTTGACCCCCCCCAAGAGTCCCCACTGAAGCTATGTAAGTCTCTAACTCTTCCGAGAAAGATGAAGCCCACCGGAGTGCATCAGGGAACCGGGTTCACGTCAACTACAAGACAAATCGATGCTTCCCTTTTAAACAGTCAACCGGCATAGAAAATGGAGAGGAAAATGAATAGACATTTTACCAGTCCTCGCGACCGACGGTACTGTGTCACCTTGGTTTGAATCCTAATTTGTACAATCTGATAAGTTACAGATGATCAGAGAATAGGGGATATTTGAACGGTGACTTGATCTTTGATATTATTAAGTCACGATTGTGAGTATTGGGGGGATTTATACTGTGGATTCCACGGTAACTTTTTCTTTTTAAATATTTTAAACCATTTAACCCGATAGATCATTTTTGAGAGTGGACCTGCTGAGTGGAGAAACGGTGCAGACCCCACGCAAGAGCCGTGGGAGAGGTTTTCCCCCCTAGATTCTCCCAGCACTGCTATTGGACTCATTTTTCGAGAGCTTTTTGAATATTCACCCATTCCCTTCGCATTTCTTTCCTTTGAAAGTCAGTCACAGATGTGCCAACCTCAAAGGACGAGACATAAGGAATTATTATTCGGAAGACTCTGAGGACGGCCTTGGAAAAACACAGTTCGCATGTCTGATTCTTTCAGAAGAGGAAGTGTGGATTCTCTGGGCAGTTACCTGGGTCGGTAGCAGACATCAGTGAGCCAAAAAACAAACAGTCGGTGAAGTGAAAGTCTCCGTTTTTCAACTGGCCGGCATGTTCCATTGCCTTCACAAAGCCATACACGGTCAGCCTGTAAGAGAGGAACACGAGAGCGTTAAACATCAGGTGGAATCCTAGGTAAAACCCGGCAGTCGCCACAAACGTTCCAACGTGTCCCCGCCCACTGGCAGCCAACGTGTCCCCGACTAGCCCTGCAAGGTCTCAGTTCACGACGGCGGGTCTCTCTGGTTTTGTCTGCTGAGGCAGGGGTGTCTGCAAAGGGCCTGGGTCTCAGGTACATTACTGGAATGGGAAGGCTTTCAGCCATTCACAAGGTGTGGTGGGTCCATTGGCCACCTCACAGCCGAGGGGTCTCCACCGAGCCTCTGCCCCCAGCCAGCCCCGGGAACGAACACCCAGCTGCCATCTTGTTTTGATGCTGCAGGGAAACCTTTCTCCTCGTGGAGCCTGTAAAGGTTTTATAACCTTCGCAGTCCAACGCCATGGAAGGCGATCGTCTATTTGGGTTTTCTCATTTGCCGCGGCAGCACTCTTGAATTGTATTCAATGAACAGATTGAGGTTTGCTAAAGTGGTAGCGGAGAAAATACAGGCCTCTGTCCACCGAGCCTCTGTCCACACCCACAGCCTGGGACAGGCTCTGGAAACCACCAGCCATCAAGCCAGTACGTGGAGGCTGAAATACTGTCACGCACTTTAGAGTTAGATCTGAGAGTTTTGGAGCCTGGCGAAGTGCCAGATATCATAAATTAAAATTCCATCAATAATGCATGTATTTCAAATTCGGTTAAGAGAAAGAGCTTCCCCGTGGGGAGATATTTGCTATATGACTTTAGAGTGTTAGCCTCCATTTTTTAAAAATAAGGCTGAGGGGGTAACAATAGAGAGTTGATCAAGGATTAACCGAAATAATAAACAGTAGGAACAGTAGTCAATCAGAAGATTGACTAATTCTGCTAGCGAGGATCAAAACAGTGGGTAACACTGTCTACAATTGGTCAGAAGGCAGGTCTAGCGTGTTGTTACCCTGCGTCTCTGTTCAATAGCCATTTATTTTTGAATTTCCCCCCCTCTGTCACATGTTTAAATACATTAGCTGACCAAAGGATGACCCTCGCCTTTATAGACTATGACTTTAAGCAGGATGGGAAATAATAATAAAAAATCACCAGAAATCCAAATTACCTCTGTTATTGTATCATGCCTTGAATTGGAATGTGCCAATCTGACCACCACTGGGACATTTCGGGCAGTCAGAAATTGCCCCTCAGTAGTGGGCCTCCTTCGGCCTCTTCTTGGATTAGCTCAAGGTCACAAGGTCCTTTCTCGCCTGAAGTACAGGTCAAAGGTTGGGCACTACCAGGACGGGGAATCAGCATACCCTTTGTGATCTACGACTGCATTTCTGAATTCTATGTGTAGTAGTTACCTTTGCTGATAATAATAGCTTTAATGATCTGCGGCTCAGAACTGAAGCTTAGGTTCGGTGTGTGGAGAAGCCCTCAAATTGAGTAAGATAAGGAAATAGATGTCAAAGTTTCAAGGAAACACTGCTCTTGCTGCAGTGAAATTAATGTCTGTATGGAGGCCTGGAAGGCAGTTTCTCCTATAAGTACTCATTCGGAGATATCCTAGAGCTTATTAAATAGTTTCCTGTGGGTTCATGTCAACCAATTAATCAAATAGAGTCTGAAAGATGTGTATTCGGATTACTTCAGATGCGGAGTATTTCTTATATAATATGCTCAGGGCAAATAACAGCACATTTCTGTCATGAGCTAATAAGCAACTGTTTAAACTGTATGCAAGGATCCATACCGGCCACAAGGAAAGAGAGTTGTTGAAAAGATGAATAATATTCAGATTTTTATAAAACATACTCAGTGAGTAATATTTGCATTAAAATACGTTGATTAAAAATCGAGTATTCTTGGACATTCATTTAAGTGGAAAACTGGAATGACAAAAATTCACTGTTATTGTTACCAGCAGTTATATAAAGGGAATGAAGCGTGAACTTTTTCCTTTCTTGCTTTGCTGAATTTTTCCAATTCTTTTTAAAAATAATAGCCATTATTAAAAACCAACCGTGAACATTAGCGAATTCTCTTACAGACACAATAGACATCCGTGGGGTGGTTTAGACCTCATGATCCTCTGGTTAGCTGCTATAATTACCCATTTACAAGTGAGAAGTTAGAAGTCAGAGAGGTTATTTAACTTGCCTCCCACCAAACAGAGCTCGTGACGGAAGCTCAGTTGGAATCTGAGCAGAGGGACACGGAAACCTGGACCCGATCCCAACTCTCTTATGCTTTCCAGTTGCTTTGGCATCAGGTCCAATCAACTTCTAGACCTCACGTAACAATAATTACAGTTGCTTTCCTGAGGTAATAATGCCAGGAACCATGAAAAGAAGAATGAAGCGAAGAACACAAAAAAGACCAATACGAACCCCAGTTCAATACGGGCTCATCAGGGTCGTCGTTATGATTATTACCGATCGACCGCTGTTCATTGTTACTGACAATGCGGAGCCAGTAATTACCGTGTGCCTGAATTCTCATTAAGCTCAACCTTGCCACGGTGGTGACATTATTCTGAACGATAAGCCACTGGTTACCACTAGGATCACGGGATGCTCACACACAAGTGGTCTGAGCATGTGGGTTGTACGCGGAGCCGCAGGAGACAAGGCGGGGAGGGGGATCCGGTGATGGGGGAGTCGGGCGTGGGGCCTGGGGCTCCAAGTTCCTGCGTAGGGCCTTGCTGGAACACTTTGAGGACGGTGCTTTACACCAGCCAAGATGTCACCACTGCGAGTGTGATTTGGAAGGCAGACCACGTGACCCACTAACCGGTCAAGTTGAAAAGACCCCCCCCTGTGACCTTCCATGACCCAACTCTGTGGGTCTCTGTGCAACCTAGGCTGAGAGCCCCCCTTCCAGACTGGGGAAGAGGGGCCCGCTAACGCTCCCTGTGGGGTCCCACTGAGAGGGATACCTCAGGACTGGAAAACTCCAGCAGGGAGCGTCCATGTTTGTTGAAGACATACATGCTGGCTAATAGAATAATAGAGTACGTTGCTTTGTCCTGGGCTGAATTATATCAACTAAGAAATTCTGCACGCATATATAGATTTGCATATATATGTGTTGCGCGTCTATGATTCACAAACACACATATACATACATGCAACTATATATGCACGGATATGTACCTAGAACATGACACGTAATAAGCAATACGTCAACCCTTTCTGAGGGTATGGAGATGCCCGGAGACAGAAACAGGAAATGACGGTCCTGTCATCTTGAAAAACACAGGTTGGCGGCAAGCCTGCGATTCGAGCTGCTCGGGGGAGTGGGAGAGGGGTTTGGGTCCTCTTCTGAAGCACCAACTAAAAACCGAAAGGGCTGGAGGTGTGGCCCAAGGGACAGAGCACTTCCAAGCCACGGCAGTCACGCGTTCAGAAGTATTATTCTCCCCGCATCGACCCTCTTCTGCAGGGTCTCAGCGGCTCAGCCACACCCACGGGCTGGACTGTGGAATTCCTCCCGGGGTGACCGGGATTGCAACTGTCAGCTTTGTGTTTGCCGGGCAAGCGTTCTACCATTTGAGCAGTGGCCTTCGCCTGTGTACTCAACCTTTTTTGTTTTTCCTCAGTGAAATGTGAAATTCAAATAGTGTTCAGAATCAGTCACGTAGGTCAGGAGTTGGGCGGAAAAATCAACGGAGGAACTATTCAGCCCTGAATCCCCTTTTTCTGACGCCATAGACATCAAGACCTAGCCGGGTGACTGCTCAAGTCACCCTGAAACCTGGCACAGAGCAGAACTGGGGCTGAAATTCTGGTTTTCTCCTAGAGTTGTTTGCTTGAGCCGGCAATTTCTACAGATTCCTGCTGCCTGACACTTCTACAAAGGGAATAAGACTTGTGATTTTCATATAATTTGCCTAATCTATCACGTACAGGAACTGTGTAGAGTCTCTTTTCAATTCTCTAGCACGCATTTATCTTCTCCAGCTACCCCATTTTGGAACCCGAGTGCCAACTGCTGTTTGTAATAGAATGTGAACAGCATGAAACTACAACTCTGGATTTCTTTCCAGGAGAGCAAGCTCATGAATCATGTAAACATATTTAGCTCAAATGAAGACGTGTATGCTCTTTACCGGTTGATTGATGGCCTCAAAATACATCCACATGATTAGTGACAAGACAGAAAGAACAATCAATCTTGCGAAGGATATAAATCAACTGCCAATTCCTTGAGTGAGTCTTCTTTTTCAACCATGTCAATAGATGTTTGGGACCCCTTACATCTAGAGTGGAGAGCTCTGAGTGACCTGTTTTGCGTGCGAGGTGTGTAATACTGTCACTCGAGCTTCCTTTGAGGTTGCGGGGTGAGCTTCTCTTAGGATGGTTTGATTCACTTTCCAGGGTACAGCCTTCCCTTAGAGACACTACCTCTGCCCACTAATCAAAAGCAGAAGCGCTTCTGATAACAACAGTACAACACCACGTGTACTCTTGCAAATGATTCCCGGATATCTCCTCATCTCTAAGAACACGACTCCAACTCCTTTCCCCACGACCCCAGAAAGCCAAATACCTGTTGAAGAGGGTACGTGTAATTCTGAGATGCCCCTGACATAATAGTAACTGGTCAGATGAGGGCTAGATCTCCAAGGGACCGGTATTAACCCATCTACGGAATTATTTCTGACAGTGATCTGCTCTACACGTCAGAAGGCTGATTGGATTCCCTGTCTCTCCTCTAGATACTTCTTTGGATGCTAAAAATGGACTCCGTGCATCCGTGTCTGTTCACAATCCTTAGATGACTTTCTGTGGGTCTTGCATGTCAAAATACTTTAAATGACCACGTCTTTTCACCCTCCCCTCCCCCCTTCCATTCTGATCTGTTTCCCCCAGATCCTGACAGGCAGGAGTTCCATGGACAGACAACTTCTGCTCCCTGTGTTAGATTTGATCAAGGGGCTTCTCGAACTCATGCGTGGGCCGGTGACCTCTCTGGGTCTTCTTAAGGAGCAGACAGAGGGTAGA